CCCGGAGCAAAGCCCGCTCCCCTGGGGGCCTCTCCCCGCGGGCCCCGCTGCGGGGCCCTCGCGGAGCTGCGGGCGTCTCTGGTTCCTACAGGTGGAAGGTGCAGGAGGCGGTTCCGTGCAGAGCCAGACCGAGGAAACACGGGGCTGGTCTGGGTGAGCTCTGCACCGCTTGTGCCTAAGAGCCAGCGGTTGGGAAATTATCCAGAGGGGCGTTGGGTCCGGAGAGATGTTGGACAGAGCTCTCACAGGTCCTGGGAGGCAACGGGCAGGGTTTGTTCCATCCTGACCTCCTCATCCACCTTTCCAGGGGCTCAGGGCAAGCAGAGCTGATTACAGCAGCCGTCAGGCTGGTGCCTGGAGCTCACCCTGCTCCATGTTTTTCCAGCAGCAGCCTGCAGGCACTGTGGCCAGCTTTCCTCAGCTTTCCCCACACTGTGAAATCAGACCCTCTAAGGAAGTTGTCAGAGGGCTCTTCACAGTCCCCACTTCACGCTCAGTGCCTGGCTGTAGGAGCCCAAGTGTCAGAAGACTGTGGAAACTCAGTGAATTCCAACAAAATCCATGCATCTTCATTTCTACATCGAGGTGCTTATGCTGAAGATCAGATACAATCAACATTGCAGATTAGAGTTTAAGATAGGTTTGAGTAATTTTAAATTGATTGGTGTTTAGCATAGATGTTCTGCAGACCCAGAGGTCAGTTTTGCATAGGTTGCATTGTGTGGAGCATCACTAATGCAGGATAAACTATAATAAGCACAGTACTTATAATAGTAAGCTAAGAGCAGACCTGGTGCGATAAGAGATTATGGTAGGTATTGTTCAAGTTGTGAATTAGATTTAGGAGCTGAACAGTTACAGCAGATCTGTCAGCTTTAGCCAAGGAAAGATTTGCCACTAAGGCATGTCACAAGGAGATACAGCAGCCTTTTAACAAGTTTACCCTATTTCTCCCTATTTCAGTATGCCAACCCTTATAGTTACCCTACCTGAAAGCTGCAACTTACATGGTTTTGGTTTGTGCATGCACTGGGGTAAGCAGCATTATTCTTGCAGGGACACCAAGAAGTTCTCTTCCATTGACCCAAATCATTGACCAAGCTTGTCAAGAGGCAGAAGCTTACAAGGATGCCGGAGTTGTAAGTTTTGATTTCGTTCTTCCTATGGCAGCATTTACACAAAGCTGCTTCTGCGTAGCCAGTATTTTACATTGGGTCTATAATCCATCAAGAGCATCTTAAATCACATGGTTTAGGAAGAATTTTAAATCCACATCTTTTATTTCAACATAGTAAGTAGGCCTTCTGGATTACAAATCCTAAAGTAAGTATCACATGTACCCAAAACAATTGAAAAAGCTTAGATTCAAATTGTGCCATTCAAGTTGCTTAAATTAGATTGCCATCAATTTCTAACAAGCAAGTCAATTTAAGGGAGGGGAAAAAAAAGGAAATTTGACTGCAACAGGGATGGTTACTGGCATTCTGGGTATCTGGCTATAGAATGCCTCATCATCTAGTCTGACAAGCTACTGTATTTTTAGCTCTGTACAACACTCTGGTTTCCTGCAGCCATTGAGGAACGCCATGTGCACGGTTGAGGCACTGCATGCCTCAGTCAGTTGTAGGGTGCAGGATCGCCCTACATTTGTGTTTGTACCAAAACAGCACAGATTATTCGGGGACTGAGAAAAAAATCTTAGGCCATTTTCTGCCCTCTTTAACCCTTCTATCCTGCCCCTGGCAGCAAGCATGCCTGCTTTGCACATCTACAAGAGAAGGCCTGAAAGGCCAGCCTCAGCCAGAGGCAACTGCTACTGACTGAATTGCCGTTGGAGCTGAAGTGGTGTAGTAATCTTCATAGGTCAGTAGATTTTAACAAGGTGTATGTCCTTTTGAAAGGTCAGGTAATGTTTTAAACATTTCATTGCACCTTCTCCTCGGGTGTTGATATGCTTTTTCTTTGACCTGCCTGCAGTATTTATGTACATTTTCTGGCATGGTAAGGTGATGTCTTAATGTCCAAGGTTTGAAAATGTCTTAAATGAACAAGTGGTCACTGCTCTGAACTGCTGTTTTCTGCAAAACTTTAATAAAGCCAGTTGAAACCTTTTTAATGGTATAAATTGGAAAGATACTTCAGACTGAACAAAATTGAATGTAAGAGCTTAGTCTAAATTACAGAAGACCGAGGTCAAAATGCAAGACAAGTTACACAGAATAGGTTAGGGGCAGAGCACTGGTAAGGCTAAGTTAGGAAAGAATCCTGAGAACAGAATTGTTGAAAGAGTAAACAGCAGTTGCAGAAGAATGATGTTTACATAGGCGGGCTTCAGTGCCTAGGAACCCAGATGAGCATGTGCAACATGTCCCCCGGTTAGAATAATCTCTAACTGCAGGTTGTACAGAATAAGTTTGCTTCCTTTTCATGCCTGTTGAAGGAGCAGGTGTACAATAGCTCTGTATTCTGTACTGTGACTTCATATTTTGTCTTTACAATCACACAGTTACAGTATCAACATGAGGTATAACATGATTTGATCTATATCAGAAGAGTCTCTGTCTTCCTGTGTTAGAGGAAGTGGTTAAGTGATGTGTAACCCTTAAAGCTATTGCTCCGCATCTTGGTGCTTGTTTACTCATTTCCCTGACATACTAATTACACATTGAAGCCTTTAGCAGCAGGGAGAAAACACCAAGTATACCTCAAGTTGAGGGAGGGTACAGAAGGAGTTACTTTCACTGCTGACATGCAAAAAAGCTGGATCAGTTTTAAGACAAGCTTTAAAGTCAGTAATAACACAAAATTTTAATTCGTGTTTTATACTTTATTGTCTTTTCTGCTGTTCCAGGTCTAACTGGTTTACCTTTTATCCTATTGCATTGAAGTCTCTGAACTTGAATATATTTTTAAACCTACCTCCCAGGTAGATAGATGAGGTGAATGCAATAATTTCTCTACACACTTGGACAAATTCAAGGCTTAAAGTTATGCTTAGTCTATTTCCTGTAGAAGTCACAAGAATATCAGTATACATTCCATACCAGTCTTCATTCTGAAGGTCTGTACATAATAGTGTTACAGCAATATGACAAACAAATCCTTTATTAATGCCATAAAGGTCAGAGACACTCAGGAGAGCTTCCATCAACTCCTTAAGGTTTCTTAACACTTTCTGCCATTCACTTGTTTAGTTTTTCCTGGTACTTTAAGAGAAATGCAAGTTTTCATGGTAGATATTTCAGGAGCTTCCTGGTTTTGCAGAGAGATCACCACCCTTCCAAACTAACTAACCTGTTTCTTTACTCGGAATATATTTAGGTTTCCCCCTCAGTACTCTGAGTGAACTGTTAACCTGTCTGTTTTCCTTGTGGAAAAAGAGCTAGAAACTTAAAGTTTTTTTTCCGTGGATGTTTCTACTGTCAGTATTTCCAAATGCTGCCTACAGCAGCCTTTAAGAAGATACGTAACCATCTTGCTGCTACTACACTTTTACATGTTGTCTCAAGTTGCTTCAATTGGTGTTAACATTTTAAAATAAAGTATATGGTCTTGCTCGCTCAATATGCGTCACACTTGGAAGTAAATCCTAGTATATTTGGAAAAAGGTGACTTGCGTGGCACATTAGCAGCTTAACATAATAAATATGAAAGATTTGTGATATTAGAGCACAGTAATGAAAACAAGTGAGTGCTCAGTTAGGAAGCCATCTGTGCTCAAAATGTATATGCTTTGTACTTCTGTGTTGCTAAACAATGAAATTCCCTAGACAAGATTTTATAAGCAGCAAGCTATAAGGCATTATGATCCCTTCAATTTGTATCTGTTTTTGTTTAAGAAAAATGCAAAACATATATTGAAGTTTTTATTTTATTAATTCCATTCAGCTTGGGTGATACCTACTTTGTAGCTAGAAAACAGAGCACAAGTCCCCTCTAATTTCATTGATATGGATCACTTTACTACGAGTTGCTGTTATCTAGCTGTAGCTACTTGAGTAGCTGACATTAAAGACAGTTAGAAATACATAAATAAAAGTATTTATTAAAAAAAAAATCCCAAAATTATAAAGATACATTGAGTCACAAATATTATGGTGCTTCTTACCACACAAAATTTTAGGTTTGCTTCTCTTGCCAGTGCTGCCTCTGGAGATGCATTCAATGCTGTTTTGATCCTTCTGATTCTTCTTTTATCTCTGTACCTGGAAGGGGAGTTACTAGTACATATTTTACATTGATGTTTAAAAAAAAAAAAGAAAAGTTTCAAGCCTATTACTCTTATAGGAAGAATGATAGTTGGAATTCAAATTACTTAGACTTTATTAACAGTTGAGAGGGAATAAACTAGTATTTCTGCATAGAAACATGTAGGTAATTATCACTTGGATTAGAGAGATTAACATTTCAAATCTTAGCTATATTACAGTAGAATAAAACAGCAGACAAACCTCCCTACAACTACCTCCCATGGTATATACATGTAGGAGAACCCAAGATATTTACTTACCTATGTTAAGATAGTAATCTCTTGCTCTGGAGGTAGACTTTTAAAATGAATTGCTAGGAAGCCACACTTAGGCACAGCAAATAAATGCTCTATAAAGACACCTGATTTCCTTTATAAGGGGCACATGACTGTGGTGCTGGGAAAGGCTCTTACTGTCTTAGTGTATACTTGAGCCTATATAATAACATGTAGGGTGCAACAGCTCCCTTTCTTCTTGGAGAAAAGAGCAGTTGTTTTAAGCTTGTAGAGGTTTGTATTAGCATGTGTGTGTTTGTAGGTAAAACCTTTCTGTTAGGGGAGACACTGGGGTTAAAGCTGCCTTAGGTAAAAGTTACATTAGGTAGATGCTGAGTTAAAGCTTGTCTGATTGTTATGCCTGTTGTGGTTTATAGGGTTGTGACTATTTTTTGAGGCTTTTTTGTGGTGATATGTGTGTGTGCACAACTGAAGTGTTTAAAGAGGTCATTTCTATAAGTGGAATAAAGCTAAAGAAATTATTTTTTTATATAATCAGAGAGCTATTTAAATGACCTATTTTCTAATAGCTAACTGATACAAGAGGTACTTTGCACATATGTAGCACTTCAGAAGTCATTCAAAGTAAAAAGGAAATATATTGTTTGAGAATTGCTAAAAATAAGGCTATTACATATGAGCAACACTTAAGGAACACAAATGGTATTTGCTAGAGTTTTATCTTGCACAATCCAAATAAATTCTGCTTTGGAGGGTGTAATGCAGTAACTGCTCCTATAGACTTCTAAACTATAAGCTTAAGATCCAAGAATTTTAATTCAGTGTAACTGTTTTCTTTCCACCATTTTAATTAGCTGTCTGATAGTACTGAAGTCTGTTTTATATACATATCAATTCAGTAAACACAGAAATCTGTGGTGTTATATTTTTGTATAAAAATATGAAAGAAAGCTTTGAGTTAATGCATCTGTAATTCAGCTCTCTGTATTGTAGAACATATGCTGTTCTTTTTTAATTAAACAAAACATAATATGCAAAAGAGCATAGTCTATCGGATGGTACCAAAATAATAACACATTTTTAAAGTAATACCAAAAATATTCATGGTAACTGTGGACCTTGAGGCCATAGGAAGAGACAGCTGCTGAAAAGTAAATATAGCAAGTTTGAGGCAGAAGAGAGAAATGTTGGAATCCTCCCATATGCCTGCATTTTGAACTGGAATTCAATCAGATACTTTTCGTGCACAAGTAATATGGCTAGAATTTTAAATTAATTTTTAAAGGAATTAATTCATTAATGTATTTAATGGAATGATTTGCTTTATGCAAATCCTGAGCTGTCACAATTAGTAGCAACTCACAGAAAGCTCAGTTTCACCGTGGAATTCCTGTGGAGTCCTGCCAGCCTGTTCTTCTGCTCCGGGTTTTGTGGACTCAAGGAATTACCTGGCTTTGAATGCTCATTGTATTCTTTGAGTTTGGTTTGTTTTGTTAAAATATTATAGTCTGACATTAATCCTTTTGCCACATACTGCTACTGACCGAGTTTGCATTCTCACATAGGCTAACCTAATATATTCATGTGTACAGAGGGCAAAAGGCTAAGGGATTTCTCTTTCTGTTGGTACTACAGAGGATTCAGTAGTTGTGTCTAAGGTAGAAGACCATTGGGTCAGTTCAGGTTAGTTGGAAGGTCAGTTTCTCTGACCTTCTTCCAGAGAAACTGACTAAAAGCTTGTGGGTTTTTAATTTCTGGAAATGCTGTGGGTTTTCTGAGGGCTGGTTGTTATCTTTGTCATATGGCTACCTCTTCTCACAGGTAGTGATGTGTGGATGTTAAATTGTACGTTGAATTGGATATAGAGACAAAATCGAGGACGGATGTTTTGGTTAGTTGTCATATCTGGTCTTTCTTCACCTAGTTGATGTTTTCTTGGACTGGAATTCTTTAATTAAATAAGCTGTCGAATGGCACCAAAGAGTACATAGGTCTAATGTTGGGGGCTTATAATAGTAGATCACTTTTTCCATTAATAGGTTGTGTTCTTTTGTTTCTAAGGTGGCATGTATTTTGTGTATTTAAATACTCAGCTGTAGGTCATTTGGTAAAGCAGCCGTACCCTGGCGCACTGAGCGCGTGTGGGTTGTGTGCTTGGACTGACCATATTGTTCCACCAGATGATTTCCATTCTCAGTTTCTCCCATTCTCCACGTTAGGTGTTCATTTATGATGTCTGTGGCTTAGCCTGTAATTCAGCCATTAAATGCTGACTGCATTTTATATACTGTCTTATCTTTTACTGCCAAAAGGGCTTCTACACTACAACAAAGATTAAAGAAGCGTTACATATGAAAGTTTTTTAAAAAGGAAACCTTTTTCTTCCCTTCCTGATTCACTGCATTATTATTAACCAAACTTCTTTGTTTAATCTCTAGTTGTATTTTTTCCCCCAAATGTTCTTCTTTCTATTCTGGTTCAGTTAGAATATCTTTGAAAGTAAAGCCTTCATTTTATAAAGGATTAAGATGTGTGATAAAACTCCAGAGAGAGTGGGATTTGTTTTCTATATATGCAATTAATTTGTCTATTAAACTTTTTGTGGTTTGAGATTGAAGCAGGTGAGAAATTACTAGCATATTTTAACATTCTCTCTGCAAATGCAAAACATCAGGCTTGCAATATGTTTCAAGGCTATACTTTAATTATTAGTCCTTGAAAAAATTATATATGATTTTCAGTTGTTGAAAACTTTTTGGTATATACTATACAATGATTTGAAAAGTATAAGGTACCAGATAATATACAAATATTTTAAATAATTTGCATAAATTATATCAACAGAGTATTTTATCATCACTCCATTGTTTGCTAAGCGTATGCCTGTGTGGAGCAAGAGGAATAGTAGATAATAAATAACAATAGCGGCCTGAATCCAGAATGGGACAAATATCAATAGTTAGTACTACGGTATTAGGCACATTACAAATAGGAACAATAATAGTCACACAAAAATTCCTTTCTTTATCCTAAATAACACTTATTTTCCTGACATTAATTGAATTGAAAATTGCCTTGATTATATCTAAATCCTCCGTTATCCAAACATACTCAATATCCTATATTCCACTTTGATAACTGAAGTTTGACTCGACACTATTTTTAATGAGGTATAAGATTTAACTCATTCCCCCATAGTTCACATTTTAGGATAGATCAAAGGAAACCTAATTGATGAATGTATAATTAAAATCACATTTATTTCTCTTCATGATTTCCCTGCAAATACCATGCTGTTGATGAAAGCGCTTCTATAAGTGGTTGTATGCATCAACACAATTTACTGTAGATAATCCTTCCTTTGAAGGGAAACCTTTAAACTTGTGTGTCTTTTAATAGAAAACAGTGTAATTGTAAACTAACCATGTTTAAGTTCCTTTTTTTCCCCAGTTTAATCATATTTCTTTCTAATGTTCTCCACAGGATGGCTTGATAGTAGAAAACATGCATGATCTTCCTTACACGGTGTGTCCTGGCCCTGAAGTAACGGCGGCAATGACAGTCATTAGTGCTGCAGTGAGACAAACCTGCCCCTGCCTCGCGCTGGGCGTCCAGATCCTCTGCGCCGCAAATCAACAGGCCATAGCAGTTGCTCTTGCTGCAGGTAATAGAAATGACTCCTCAGTTATTACTGTTGTTTGCTATGGCATTTACTCTCTGCAAATTATGCATTGTCCTAACATAGATACCATGAAAAATGAGACATGAAAAGCTCACTGTACCCTGAAAAAGTAGAAATTAGATTTTTGAGAAAGATGCCTCCTTGATTATAATAGATGATACTTGTGCACTGCTTCAGTTGGAGGCAGCTAAAAATCCCAAGGCTGCTGCTGCAGCTTTCTAGGTGAAACCTGTCTAAATATAATGATTAGTTTAAACCTACTCATGTCTAAAAGCTACCTTAGGTGTAACTCTATTTACTTCAGTTAAATTATATTTGAGGATCAGTTTAACCCACTGTGGTTAAGGATCCTGTTTCAACATCTAATTATATGTTGTTGCTACTGCTGTTACCTGTTAAAACTATGTTTTCATTGCCTTTTTTAATGAATGGATGGAATGAAGCTTTTTATATAATAACAAAAAATTGAGTGTACAGCTAGCCAAACTACTTCAAATTAAATTGCATTTGGGGGAATTAAATATAAATTAATCTATCTTTATTGCATGAATCCTAGACTTGCTAACCTTTTCTGCTACTGCTTGCTGAAGCAATTTTAGTTTTTCATATGTAACATTCTGTGCTTTAAAGATGGAGGCAGGTTTAATGTGGAAGGCTTATACTTCCTAAATACCTCATAATTTGGGGGTTAATGCTTGTTTTTGCCCAAATTGCATATGTGATTACAGTAAGGTTGCACATTTTGAATGTACAGATTTTGTAAACAGGCAGAATTTTCTAAGAATGCAAAACTGAAAGATGCTGATGTTAACTGAAAACCATACTTGAAGTGAAATAACAAAGGCTAACTTATCTGCAGTGGCAGTTTTAATTATGTTGAATATGTTCTAGAAGTCTTCAGTTCCCTTTTTTTCTTGGAGGAATTCATGTTGGTAGGTGTGTTTTGAACTCAGCTTTGCTTTGAGTGCTTTAAAATCAGAAGTTGCCATTTTCAAGGTATCTATCTACTTGACAAACTGACAAAACCTAATTTTTATTGCTGTAGTAGAATGTATATGAAAACCTAAAATAAAAATGGTATCAGAATCCAGTTTTATTTCTTAGGGATTGTATGCATGTAGGGTACTTGAGGTAGATAGGTGTTTGCAAAAATATTTACACATCTTACTTTTAAAAGCATTAGACTGTTAGTGAGTTATGCATCCTTTTAGGGGCAAAATTGATCACTAAATAAGGGATATAGTGCGGCAGTAATGTATTTCTCTTACTTTTCAGCAATAATTAATGAGAGGGAGAATTCCTGGAGGGCTTAGATTTTGCTCAGCTCTACTACTGTTCTGCCCTGTTTGCTCTGTAACTGGTGAACACCAGCTAGGAAGGGCCTGTGTTTAATGCATTTCATTGCACTTCTCCAAAATAATGATTGTCTCAGGTTTACTGAACAGGAAAGCAAAAAGAAAATAACTTTAAGCAAAACCATAGTAAAGTGAGTGCTACTTCGTAGGTAGCAAATCTTTGAGTAGTTATCTGTAGCAACTTAGTGACTTTAATGTCATTGTAGTTTTAATAGGTGGCTATTAATAAAGCAAACCCTATTTGCTTTCACTACAAAAAATACTTGCTGAAGGTGTTCTAGCAAAAAAGCATATGTAGCATCTCCTGCTACTATGCAGTGATTTCATTTTCCCTGTGGAAACTCCTATATTTGGTAGAAATAACCATTCCGAAGAGAACTGCACAGGGAAATTGTAAGTGGTGTTGGTCATGATTTTGTTTTGTAAAGGGAGGAAAAAAGTCAACAGGTTTACAATGTGACTATGAAGGAGCTCAACATCAGCGACATGTGGTTATGCTAATAAACATGTTGGGGGTAGCCAAATAGTAACAGATGAAACTACTGAATTTTCCTAGCATTTTGACAAAGTATTGGATAACTGTGAAAATAATGGTACTAAATCAGGGGATGAGGCATTTGAGAAGGTTGAGAATTTTTAATTTTTTTTTTCTTTAGGAAATATTTATTTATTCAGTTAGGCACCTAAAGGAAGGAATGCCAGCAAAGATGTGTTTGTGCTGGGTGCTTCAGCAAAGGTGTGGGGCAGTGGCAGGAAAACAGTGGGGGTTCTTGAGGAAAAAGGGAGTCACTGTGTCTTCACTCTTCTAACGGAAACAAACAGTTCCTCATATTATCAGAAAACAACTATTGAGCCAAAACAGTTGTTGCCAACATCCTCCCAGCTCCAAAAAGTTTTGCAGACTGTTACAGCGGTGCTAAATGCTGTTAATTCAGCACACCCACAGGTCCACCACAGGGGGTTGAAGGAGGTGGTTGCCCAAAGGCATCCATCTGTCAGGCCATGGCATCCTCCTGCCACGGGCCTGCGTTCCCTCTCTGTCTGCCCCACAAACCAGTGTCACCGTGTCTCATCTTTTGCTTTTGCCTTCAAGAGGTTATGTTGAAAAGTGCTGGATTTCCCTCTGTTCCTAAGGGCAGATATGGTAATGTTAGCTGACTCAAATTACCATCATTCTATACACAAATAGTGGGGGAGATTCATGTCACACCTTTCTTAATATTAAAGTCCTCTGCTGCTCAATTTTTATACTCTTCTAATGTAGGCACTTTAATTTGAAATACAGTAATGTCCCTAAGGAACTGTAGACTGTAAAACATAGAGACAATACAGAGCAGTACAGTTTTGTATTTATTTTTTTGAATGGAAGGCATCGTAATCTCAAATATGTCTCAGGAAAACAGCCCTTAATAGTTCATTTTAATGACATCCTCCAAAGACTGTATTATCTTCCTTCTTTCCTAAAATACTCTTTGAGGAGAAGCAAGTCAGAATTTGTTTGCTAGGGTTACTTTTCAATTGGTTCATTATTAACAGGTGCACCATGTGCTTTTTAGAGGTGTATAACTTCCTGTTTGTAGTTTCTGAATTAATTAACTACATCTGCTTGAGGTTGAAACAGAATGATCTATATAAGCAGGTTCTATGAGCATTTGTAGAGAAGATACAAATGCTCCCTTATTTATTTTTGTTTAGCCAATATTACTGGTTATCATTTCTCGGTGCTCAGGAATATCCACAATATGTTCACTAAGTCTGGGTCAGATTTAGGCATAGTGCTTGCTTTTTCTTACTTACTTATCAGTGTGTTTTGTTTCCTGAGGTTAACCATTGTGTTAATTTCATGTACTCATGTTGTTTGCTGTTAATCTTCCAGATTACATGGCTTTTCCTTTCTTGAAAGTTTGCTAATTATGAAGCACTAGTTATATTAGAGGGGATTGTTGTGTCTAAAGGAATTGCCCAAAAGCTTTCAGCTGCTGTTTGTGTTTTTCTTTGAATCAATGAGATGTTCTGCTTGGTTCTAATCTATCAGTGTAGGTCTTTGCAGAGAAGATGCAGAGCCTTTACAATACAGGGAGTATGTGTTAATGAGACTTCTTTATTTTGCACATTCTGATACTTTCTATTACCAATGTGTAGCAGTGATCGAGAAGAAATAAATAACTGGTCCATCATTAACCTAATGGAGACACAGTTAATGGTGAGAAGAAAGATTTCACGAAATATTGCCATTGTGAGATATTGGCCTGGCCATCTGCTGATCTTTGAGGCGTACAACAGTCACTATAGCTGTATCTCTGTAGTGATGCATGGGAATGCTTCTGATATTCCAGGTACCCTTCCCTGCTGTATCTTGACTCCACGGGGTGGAAAACCCAAGCACATGGGCCAGAGGCAAGTTATGCTCTTGTGTTCTGGCCAGAGCTTAGGTCTGGGTGCCTGGGAGCAAGGACTGTAGGGTCTGCTGTAGAGTGCAGCTTCCCTATGCCTGGGTAAGCCTGTGTTACACTCATCATGAATCAGGGCTCAGTTTTTAAGTTTATCTGACGGTTTTTCCTTTAAGGATCATCTTACTGAAATCCCATTTCTGAATCATGATGACACTGTTGGTAGCTGATTAAAGTGAGGCTTCATATCAGAAGATATCCCAGGTATCTCCATGTCTTTTACAAATACAGCTTTGCTGTCTGAGACCATTCCTTTCCCTCACCCACCAGCAGAGATAACCTCCATGGGAATTCACTTGCTACAGCCCATGACCCTGTTTAAGGTGGGACAGAATTGGGCAGAATTTTATACTGCTTTTTTTGCTTTTCTTTTTAACTGCCACCATTTACTCAAGCTGTGGTGATGGGAAGTGCAGCAGGGGTGTGCATGCCTTGGGAGCATCCGCAGGTGCTGTGGAGCAAGGCAGTGAGTGCCATGGGCTCTACTGCAAGGTCTGCTGGAGATGCTTCTTCCAGGCCTGCAGTTCATGCTGAGCATGGAAGGAGCAGCTGCAAGACGATGCCCTGAGTAGTAAAGCCTTTGCAGCAGAGAGGCTGTACACCTCTAGCATCAATAGCAGCCAAAGTTGATACTCTAAGTTTTAATTTTCAGCACAAAATCAGTCTTTCAGATTCTTTTTTGAATAGGAAGGCAAGAAGAGCTGGGAGCCAGGATTTACTGTGCATGTAAAACAAGATTTCACCAGTAAATTGTGACATCTTATCTTTGTGTAAAGGCAGAGATGTTTGCCTGAAGTCCAAAACTGAGCATCAACCAGGAGCTGCTGCCTTGCAGAGGCCAGATCCCATTTCTGTGAAAGCAGTAAATCCTAGCTCCCAGTTCCTTTTGCCTTCATGAGTAACTGAAGAAAGGAACATACCCAAGAAAGGCCTTCTCACTGGTTGCATCCAGTTCACTGTTTTGGGGTGTTAAAGTGCAGTGATATGTGCATTTAAGATAGATAAAGTAGTTTCCTCCATCAACTCAGTCTTGCAATATTTTCTCACCCAGCAAGAGAAGTGTTTCAGTCTGTCATTTTTTTTTCTTTTATGCATAAATTATCATGGAAAGGAAATAAAAAAAATAAAGCTTTTCTCTACAGTTGATAGACCTTGACAGCTGTTTAGGTGAAGCTGTTCAAGTAGGATTAAAGTAAGTGGAGTAACACTAACCTGAAAAAGAGACAAGCTCTAGTTCCATGAGCAGGCCCTGCAGTGGCTGGTTACTTGATTCCATGTTCCTAATACCATCTTGAAGTTCTGTTTATTAGGTTTCGTTGGAAATTTCCTGTTCTTGTTTTCAAACAATAACAAAATTTTTTTGTTCCCGTATAAGTCAGAAATGGGACTGTCTGTGAAGTATTCAATGGCTATTACTTTTCAACTTGCCAAATGCAAAAGTAAGCAATAATATCATTCTCACAATTTTATGAGCGTAAAAATGAATTCATTAGTGGAATCTGATTATGGCTTCATAAAGCAGAAGGGTAATGATTTGGTGCCTGCACCTATTACACTTGGTTAAAATTTGTATTTTTCATAACTCCAAAAAACCCAGATAGAGAGTGCAGCCTTGTTAAACTGAGTACAATCCTAATGTTTAGCAGAAAGTCTTAAATTATGAAGTTAAGGAAACACAAACCAAGCATCAGCACACATGTAAGCGGTGACTTCAGTAAATGAAATTACTCTATGAATAGCCACAGTCTTGATTTAGACATTATTATTGCTATGGAAGTGTAACATATCTCTGGACTCATTGATAGTCTTACAATTAGAAAAGTAATTTTTCTTACTTGACTCTGAATTGTACTGTAAACTGGGATGATTTAAATAGAACCTATAGCTCTTGTTCCTCAAAATCTCAGCCTAGCTATTTGCACTGTTTATTACCCAATGTCTACTAACACCTGTAACTAGTGGCACACTCTTGTCTTTGGACCCTGAGAGAACTCCATGCTTTTCAGCCGCTAATCTCTAGGCACAGGACAGCTTGCATTTGATTTGGCATCCATCTGTGATGCTTCTTGTTAGCTGGAGTCTGTGTTGCTAAGCAATATGGGCTCTTCTCTATCAGGCATAAACTGCTGTTTCTGCAACTTCAGGGCTTTTGGAATGCAGCTGAAATGTGAAAATAAACAGGCACCTTGTCATTTGGTAAATACTTTTAAAGGTTGTTTATGTTTATATTTGAAATGTACTAAGGTGAGGTCTGTGTTTCCTAAGCAGTTCTCTGGTGGGTGGGATCGTGTTCTTGATGGCTGCTTTCACATGCGTTGGTTTCCTTGATATGGTGTCACCTCTAATTGAATGTGCAGCTGACTCCAAAGCTGGAGCAGCAGCAGGGCCTCAGAAGGGCTTGGAAGAGACCTCTGAAGCAAACTGGAAGAACAGCAAAAGCTGCACATGAGTGCAGAGTTTTTATGTGTATGTTAAGTGACAGGTGAAATAAACTTCAAGGCTATGAAAGACTGGAGAGAAGAGGGGAAATACAGTGAGGGAGTCAGAATTCAATCTTGTGCTTCATAGGTGTGGGCTTGTTACACCATGGACCAAAGCTTCAGTATTTCAACACAGAGGTATTTCAGGGCTGTGTAGGGGGTCCCTGAGTGTAGGTGAATGGTCTGTGTGAAGTCATTCCTATCTGTAATATTCCTCTTCAGTGTCCATCCCACAAAACCTTCCTAGTGCAAAAAATGAATGAATATGGTGGAAACCATGTTGCTAAGACATGGTGAAGTTGATGGCCAGAGTAAGTTCAGTGTGGAGTGGAAAATGTTTCACTCTTCCCAAACCTTATCTTTTTGTACCTTTGGCACAGCTCTAGAAGTAATCTGTTGTTGTGGTGCTGTGTAGAAAACACAAGCTACATTCAGACAGCATCAAACAGGCTGTGTTTTCTTGCCTAATTTCCTAAAGAAAGAAGACTTAAATCTGTTCCTCTGTCTGTGTCCATGTTCTTGATGCTTTTTGACCTGATGGCCAACTTCAAGCATATTTAACAGGGGAATAGACGTTGGGAAAGAAGTAATACAATGAAAGACTATCTGTAAAGAGGGGAGAGACCCAAGTAGAGACCCAAGTAATGACCCTTTTTGGAGAGCAGACACATTGTTAGGATAAAGGAGCTGGGTTTTGACCTACCTGCTCCTTTGTCAGCGTGTGCCCTCTGGCATATCATTGGAAGAGTCAGGGCAGGGTGTGCAGCTGCCTGTTCTGAGCCACAGGAACAAACTGATAGGGGCTGAGGAAGAGAAGGGAACCATGGGGATAGGGAGAAATCTGGTGGGCTCTCTGGGAGAGGTGGGAGCTGGAGGTAGCGACATAGAAAGAAGCTGGAGAGAGTATGGATGAACATAAAGCATGTAAACCAAATATGTAGAGAAGCAAGGTTGGTTAGTCCCAGAGCATATGGAATAACTTGTGTTGGGATTGATTAAGAGGGGTGGTAAGGTGGGGTTTTGTTTGGTTTCAGTATTTCTGGTTTTCAGCCTTCAGTTTTAGCTAGGATATTGCTAATTTTTTAATTTTTTTTTTCTTTAGGTCTTGATTTTATCCGGGCTGAAGGGTTTGTGTTTTCTCATGTTGCTGATGAAGGGATTATAAATGCCTGTGCAGGTAACCTGCTACGATACAGAAAACAAGTTGGAGCAGAGAACATCCAGATTTTCGCTGATATTAAAAAGAAACATAGGTAAATACAAACAATATCTTATGTAAATATGAATGTAATAATCTTACATTTTTCTCCATTTTCTGAATTTTTGTTTTAATGCCTGTTTAATGTCAGGAAAGTTTGATATAGGGAGAACTTTATTGTTCAAGCAAGGTCTTGCCATGCTATTAGTGGATACATTTAAAAATAAATTTGCACCTGTAAGCTGCAGGTTGCTGCATCTGTGAAGTCTGCAGTTGTTTAACCTTCAGGATTTATAAATGTAGACTGTAAAAGTTTTGCATCTGATAGTTGAGATTTTGTATACTTGTGTATTTGCCTATTATGTTTAAAGAAATCTTGTTTCTGGAGGCTAGGCATCCAAGGTTATTTTTAGTTATGCAAGCAGTTGCCATATAAAAGCATCCAAATCATAATATTTTGGCATTTAAAAAAGCTACTCTCTTTTTTTCTCCTTCCCGCCAGTAATACTAGTTTCTTCTGTTTAAATCACTACTGTCTATGTACAGATTATGTTCTATGATTATCAAACAGAAAGAATTTATGACAGATGAATCCAGTTTCTTTTCTGCTTATACTTTATCATAACTGTCACATGGTACTTTCAGCTATTTAGATGTCATTCTTTGTTATTTTTTTTTCCCAGAAGAACTGCTGAAATGTTATGTATTATACATGCTAAATAACCTAATTAAAATGTTTGTGTGTAGTATGTGAGTAATCATGAGAATAACCAAGTCTGGAAGATCTTAAGTACCTAATAAACAGTTAATAAAATTCACAATGGAAAGGAAACAATGCAGTGTTGTCAAATTAAGCTTTTTAGGTCCTTTGAGTGGTTTCTTTCTAATAATTTCTTCCTATATATGTATGTATATATATAAAAATATATTGCATTAGACTTTTTTGTATAAAATTGATTGCATCATGTGATTTTCTTTTTCTTTGTCTTGACAATTGATGAATTGATATTTGGATTATACTTCCTGTTGTTCAAAGGAATTGCTTTTTAAGAAAAGAGGTTTGTGTTTCAGGCGGATTCATAAGCTGAGAAGGAAATGTTAAAGGACTTGTTGGTTGGGTTTTTTATGTAGAAAAATATGCCTGCCACTGATGGCTGCTAGCCTCCTGTTCTTTAAATGTGGAGAAACTATTTTTGTAATCTGCTTGCTGTGTTAAAGGTACCCTCCATGTGCTAGTTTTAGGGTGCCTACTCCTCTTAAGCCCTGTTTTAACCTCATGGTATGTATTGGGTGCTTAGGCCTGCCTTTTGGCAGCTGCAGAAAGGGAATTGGTGAACTTCCTTTTGCATCCATCTCCATGCGTGGAACGCAGTGCACATGGCCCCCACCAAGAGCATTGTCCATCCAGGCTGATCCAGGAAAGAGGCTGGCTCCATCACCACTCATCAGTGCAAGATGTTGGCCACAGCCATTGTTTTCTACTTAAATGGAAGTAGAGAAACAACAAAGTCAGGTGTTAAACCAGCAATGGCTGGAGTTCTTTCAATGTTTAGAACCGTTTAAATTAAAAGCTGCTATTGCTATGGATTTCAGACAAAGCGCGTCACCCGTATATCAGAGGTTGCTGTTGAAACGCTAGGTTGCGGGTAATTGATGTTTGTAACTGCTGCATAAGATGATTCCTGTGATCATATCATAGATAATAACTGTACTTTCTGTTAGTTGGACTTTATGAAATGAAGGGGAGGATGTTAATTCTGTTCTAGGCAACAGAACCTGATTTATGAGTGACTGCACATCCACAACTCCCACTTGAAGTCAGAGAGCTGTGTGTACTCAACGCTTCTGAAATACAGGTGCTGGATGTGTAAGCAGCTGTCTCAATTGACACTTGGTAGTTCACATGTAGCAATCACTCTTCAGAGACAGGAGACCCAGAGCAATAGACCGATCAATTATGGTTCCCTGATGGAAAAGGTTGGGTTTTTCCCCTCTTGTTCATATTGCAATTTTACTTCCCAATTTAAAACAGGACACTTGCCCTCTCTCACAAAGCCTGCCTTTAGTTGTTTTGACAGCAGGGAAGATGAAGAAATGCAGTCTAAACATTCAACAAGATGGATAACAAATGTGTGTGCCGACAGTAACCACAGGGTATGTTCCTGCTGTTTACAGTGCTCACGCTCTGACTGCAGATGTCAGCGTGGCCGAGACCGCTTCGGCTGCTGAGCTCTTTCTGGCTGATGGGGTTGTACTGACTGGCACGGCTACCGGATTGCCCGCAGATCCTCAGGAGCTGAAAGGTGAGAGCTGTCATATGAAGGTTGGACAGCAAACAGGCAGTGAATCAACTTCTGGATTAATGTAGAAAGAAATCTATTTATCCACTGTTCCTTGAGGAAGAAAATAAACTCTTCCTGTAGGGTTTGATTTGATACAGCAGAACTAATGTGATTGAGGTGATACTCAGACTAGCTGTCGCATGTTTCTAAACAATTTGATAGGACAAAAATGAAAATTATGTCAAGCTTTTATAACATTCTGAGGCTTAAATGAAAAAAAAAGTAAAAAATATATGTAGAATATGTAAAAAAAGACCATTCCATTTCTAAAAAGTCTTAATATAAGAAAAAGCTACTGTATAGCCTTATTAGAAAACTAACTATAAATCTTTCCATTGAAGAGTTAAGCATTTTTATCTTTTTATCTATGAAAAAGGAAGTCCTGCAAGAAAAGAGGCATTTTGATAAGGCAACATTCAAAACAGGAGTAGCAAGGAAAATACTGGTTAGAAGATTTTCAGAAAGAGTACAAGTTTGTTGTTAGATAGAAAGATATTACATCAAAATAATTTTTAAGTGGTGTGGACTTTTTATCAAGGGAGAATCATTTGACCTATGAGCTCTAACCTCTGCAAAAGTTTTATGATTCTTCATATTTTTATATTGGCATAAGTTTGGGCTGCTTTCATGGAAATTGCTCCCATGCTAGAATTAGTTATATCGTAGGGGCATTTGGTTTCCATCACTAATTTGGGTTTAAATTAATGGCTTGAATTTGAGGGTCTCAGTATATAAAAAATACGTATTTTTTTTTTTAGTTTTTCTTTTTGCTGGCATGCTTAAACTTAGCATGTTTTGAAGTTCCAGTGCAGAGTGAATTGTATTCAACTTATGTTAGCTGACGAGGGTGAAAGCCATACTTTACTTGCCATAGATACCTGGACTTCAAACATCTTTTAAAATACTATGAAATCATTCAGGGTTTGACCTGTATCATACATGCTTAACAGCATTTAAAATGAACATTGAACTTGTCAAAATGGAGTTTTATTTCATACATATTAAACTTTTTGTCAATCAGTTACTATGCTTCAGTCACCAATGTTAAAAAGAAAATGATGATTTGATGTGAATATCGAACTCTTGAATTAGTTGGGTTTAGTACAGTAAACTAGAAATGATATATGGAACAGGTGGCCCTGAAAGCTTGGCTTATGTTCAAGACTACAGAATTTCCTCAATCTAGAGCTCCATCGCTGCCTGCAATTAATGTCTCCATCACTCTTAATGCAGATTAAATAATTTCTTAAAAATTTATAATTTTAGGGCAAAATCCTATGTTAAATTCTGCTTTCACATATGCATGTGCAACCTCCAGTGATTTCCTGCATCAGAGAGCAAAACCTGACCTCTAGGCCCATAGGTTTTTTATCACAGGACTCCAACCAGACAGCACCATGGCTTCTGCTCTTCTTTCATGTGAACAAACATGTCAAGTCTCCATCGTCTTCTCTTTCTAGGTCCAAAGAACAACATGAATCAGAGTTGGCAGCTGTAATGAAATCCGCACATTAATTCTGTGTTTGGATTTCTGCTATGAAAGCAAGAATCTGTGGATCACAGATTTATTTTACTTAAGTCACAGGATTTTGGATGTTAGCAGCCCCTCTTATAAGAAGTATGTTGGCTTAAAGCAGTTAAGAGAAGAACTTAAATCAATATTCCAGGGTATAAGGAAATGACAAATTAGGCATATCTATGTCAGCAGATTCTTAAAAGGAATCAGATATACAGTCTGCAAAGTTGGTGTTGATGTGAGTGAAATTTTGCATTTCACAAATTTATGCAGCCCTGGAAGTGCTATATTATGATGATACACACAATTGGGCACCTTTCATCACACTGCAAAGCATCCCTTGAAAGCAGAACCAAGAGACAGATGAGATTTTTGTCATGTCTTTTTTCAGCTTTGTTGTGCAGTAATACAGAAGTGTCTTTGCCTTTGTGTCTCTGTGTTGAATTGACCGATTTGTGATCGGGTGTGGGAAATGAGTGTTTCCCTGTCAAGCCAGAGAACTGTGTTCAGTGGGGTTTTGTTTGCTTGCAGTTTGTGTTGCTGCTTTCTTGTAGACAACCATCAGCATCGCTCCTCGCAGCGGCTGGCAAGCTTTGCTCTGGGGCTCTCTGGGCATACCAGGCACTAGTGATTGATGGAGTACAAGGTCTAAATATCAGACTTCAGGTTATTAAAAAGCAGAAATTATAGCTGAGCATTTTGAATTACAATTAATTATTTTGATAAACCATCTTTTCATTTAAGAGGTTATAAAAGTTTGTTCCAGTTTGCTACATTGTGAAACATTCTTTGGTTGGAGGGTGAATCTATCATGTTTTCTCTTTGGGTATAACTGCTGAAATACCTGCTTCCCATCCAGGCTGTATTTTAAGTGCTAAAAGCTTTGTATAATGACTGCTTAGTTATCTGTGTGAACAAAGCAAATGGCCTCAGCTGAGTAACCATTGGAAAATGGGGTACATTATGAAACTCAACAGCTGGCTGTGACTGCCACCTCCTTAGTTTTTGTTCATAAAAGGGGCATCAAGACTGATTCACCCTCTCACCTCTTGATGGTACTTTTAGGTCAAAATAAAGGCTGCTGCCTTTGCAGTAACCTCATAGGAATAAACAGGAGATGTGAGTCTCTGATCTGTACTTTTTGTAAGCCCTAGATTTAATGACAAAGTCCTTTGAATTAAAAAAATAAAATGTATTAGAGTGGAGTGTTACCATAAACAGTGTTGTGTACGGTACTACACACTGCAGTGATTACTGCATATGAAAAAGCTGTTAAAGAAAAGTAGTGGAGCAAGTTATTGGCACAGTGGTGCTTATTTCTGCACTGCTCTTCACCATTGTTTTCAAGCTAGGAGCATTTGGCCTTTATTTCATGCAACTTGTGCATACCATAGTTCAAATGCTTTCATTGTGCTTTGCAACCAAGCACTATTTAATTTGATTTTATTAAAGACATGTCTGCAGATGTACTGTCACAAGAAAGATCACAGTGCCCTCTAGTTACAGTTCACTGAAATAGAAATGTGCAAGTGGTGTAAACTTTAGGATCTTGTTACTGTAACATCACAAAATTGTCTCCTTTTCTCTTTGTGTCAAAAAAAATCAGAAGAAAGCTGAGAGAGATTTAAGGCAAAACTCTGTTTAGAGACATCTTGACAGTGACAGAACATTGCCATGCAAAAGCATATCTCACTGCTGTTGCTTTATTTTCCTTTACGAGCTAGAATTTGTATTAACACAGCCAACAGACAAATCACTTTCTAGTAATCAACTTGAGGCCTTGATGTGCTTGGAAATGACTTAAAAGTAGCATCTGTAGCATACTTCATTAGGTAAACCAGTCTCCTTGCAGACCAAGCACTCCCATTGCCATTCTTCACATTGTCAGTCTGAATACATCTGCAGCACAGGAGATGTATGTGGACTCCACATGTTATGTGTGGATCACAGCAGGAGCTGGATACCTTGCTACTTTGGAGAACTTTGGTGTTTTTTATAGTTTCACAGCAGACTCAAGTGTCACTGGTTTTTACTCTTTGCCTGGTAGAGCTAAACTATTGTCTTACACCCATGTGATCATGCTCTTTTTTAATTATTTGGCTCTTCATTTTAACTGTGGATGTGAAATAATTGTAAAACAACTACCTGCTAATGTGCCCTACACACTTGTCATAAAAACAAATATTGACTTGGAATGCAGTTCCTCTGGGGATATGGTAAAGTACTGTTACACAAATCTCCAATCAGTTGTAGCACCTTAAATATGCATTGGTGTCCATGTATAGCAGGTACATGTCTAAGAGCATGTAGGTACTATAAAAAGTAAATTTCTGATTTTTCTAGAACAGGATTTCAGTAATAATGCTTAAATAAATAACTAAAATTTAATTATTTTGTTGCTGTAAGCAGGATGATTATAAGAATATAAAATATACATAGAAATAACTATAGTTTTAATCATATATGCATGATTCATCTGATTTGTTTAAAATTTTCAATAAGGGCTGTGTGGAATTGTTTTATTTTTGTGTTAAAACTGTAAGAATGAGTTATTGTTCTTAGATGGCAAAATGGTAGGGCATGTGACCTAAGAAGAGATTCAAGAGCATTTTAATTGATCCCCTTTCTTCAGTGAAGTAGGAAGGTGATAAATAATTAGTCTTCCCTGAAGCATAATTAATAAGTTGGGCTTCTGATGAAATTCCATTTAAACAGTGTTTTGAAGCAGACTTTTACATGTTGCATATATGCTTTTCCTAGTTACCTCAACCTCTAACCATCTGACATCAGCTTATCACTAATTAAAGCCATTTATATGTTTGTAAGGGTCAGAAATAATGCCCCACAACATTCCTTTAAGTAAGGGATAAAGCATCCAGTCTTATAAGTGATTCTTAGGATGGTCAATTTGAAATGAAAGGATGATAATGCTTAGTAATTCTTGAACTGGGATTTTTATTTTTTTTTTTTTTTTTTCCCCCAGAGCTAGTACTACCCCAAGTTCTGCAGAAAATACTCTAATAACATTTTATTTATCTGTGGGTAAACTTTCCATGATCTAAGCAGCCATCCCCTTTTGTTTATTCTAAAAAAAAATGTGAACTACAGTAACTGAGCCATAGATCAGTTTCTGCACAGTCAGGTCTGTCAGAATCCATGCATTTCACAGTGAACATGATCACCTGAACCCTGGACTGAAATCCACCCCTGTATGTGAGGAATGAAATGATTCTGTAATATTTTGAGCCTTGTTTTGATATTTTTTTTTGTTTCTCTTTTTGGAACCAGGTAAAGGGTCAGATAATTAACACACAATGCATATAGGAAAAAATAATTGACTTTTTTGTTCCATTGCCATTTGTAGAAAGAGAAGTAGTCTCTATCAGTACTATCTTTTGCTTTCTGGTAAACTAGCTGGAGCTATCACTGTAGACTGTATTACCACTGCTTGCTTTCCTGCTTCTGAGTCCCTGAAATTTATCACGAAGTAGAGACTATGTTCCTTTTCCATTCCCTGTGAATAAGATCCTTCTTGTTTCTTCACTGAAGATCTTCTACTAGTTGTCAACATAGCATAAATTCAGGAAGGAGACCTGGCAGAAATACACACCAGTTCAACTACCATTATTGTGATTTAAACTGATGACTGAAGAATTGTAATGAGCACAGGTCTGCTGAGTAGTTCTGCCATTGTAATGATCTCGCCAGACTTGCAAAAAAGAATCTGAGCAGATCCAATTAATAGAAACAAAAATGGCATCTTATTCTTATAGCTGTATTTTGATTACTTTGTGGAAAGACAGGGAGAAGTGATTATTCATGTCTTAAGGTAAAGGGAATTGAGAACATAGCTAAGACTCCACGTGGGACATGGAAGCCCACATGATCACTCCAGCATCAGTAAATCCTTTGTCAAGGCAATGGATCTGATTTGCCTGGAATCTATACTGGGTGCTACTGCAAGATGGTAGTAAATGACAGCTCCTTTCCATGTATGTGCAGGACCTCAAGCACAGCTGAGCCTCTAAGTGTGATGGTAACAGTCACAGTAAGTAAAGGGTCTGGTCCTGCTGTGCAAACACTTCCTGCATCCAGCATCTCTTGTTACGAGGGATGTGGAATAAAAATTAATTTATGACAGAATATAGTAAAATGCAGTACACTGTCTGCCAGCCAATTCAACTTATTCTTGCTTAAATTTTGTCTCTTGAGAATAAAGAGGGATACAGGTATGGTACCAAGACCCAACTTTCATATCTTCCATAGCACTGAAACCATCCTCTAATATGTGGCCAGGAATACTCTTCTGCAGCGTTTCATACAACAGAATGCAAAATAAAATAAAAGGGAGATTTTTTTAACAGCTGTTCAGAGATAAAGGTGCTTTTTCTAAGGAAGTTGTTTTGTTCTATAGTAAAAGTAAGAAACACAATGATGATGAGTTTCTTGATACTCACCTTTATTATTGAAAACCTGTGCAAATTAGTCTTGATAGAGTTTCAAAGATGGGACTCAACCCTAATTTTGTTTTTCTTCTCTTCAGAGGTTAAACGTGCTGTGAAGGTTCCTGTGCTGATTGGGTCTGGAGTGACTCTGGATAATGTGAGGAATTACTTGGATGCAAACGCTCTAATAATTGGTTCGTATTTCAAGAAAGAAGGTTACTGGGCAAATGGTGTTGATCCTGACCGAGTAAAGAAGTTTATGGAACACATAAGTAAACTGAGAGAATGAGTTTGTCGGCAAACAGTATTTTTTTGTGTGTGTGTATAAGTGCAGTATGATATATCGTACAGAATTAGTGCACAAATGTGTGCTTGAATGGCTAATAACATTAAATGAAAACACACATCATCTCCATAACTAGCTGGGAAATGTGGTGACATCTTACAATAAACTGGTACTCTGATGTTTGTTTCTAGGCAGTACATTTCTGTGGCACTCAAAGCCATCACCAATGCAAAACCAACTCCCTGAAGGCTTGTGTAGTATATTTTCTCCTCTAAGTAAAATGCTCATGGAGTTTAAGGATTTGTAGTAAATGTTCATCACAGGTGAGCTGAGTTTTCTTTTGCTATGAGTACAATAGGATGCCCTAAGTTTACAGCTGAGAGTATTGTAAATTGGACAAGTTAATTAGTCTTTCAGTTTCCCCATCTGTAAAATGATGATAATAGTACCAACATCACACGGGGGTTGTAAGACATAATAAATGAAAGAATGTACAGCACTTTCATCTCTTCAAATGAAGGGCTCTATTAAAGTTCAAGATCATTATTTTTTCATTAGAATTGTGCATTTATTACAAAAAAGTAGTAATTGTATATGATACAAAAACTTAAGATAATTGGGACATTTATTTACTTACGATACTTATTATAGAATAAATGTAAATATTTAATTACATTTTAAGTAGAATTGGAATTTAGTCAAAATGTTTTTTCAAAACCTGGAAATTTTAATAAAGGTTTATTGTTATTTTTCAGCAAGCTCCTACAGTATTGTACCTCTCCAGACTAGTATTAGTGATGTTAAAAACTGCCAGGTTCCTTCCAATACACAAGGTGTAATTATGATGGAAACCTTTCTACCAAAGCTGACAGGTAAACACAGATTTTCATTTTTCCTGTAAAATGTAGAGGAAAAACGTGAGAATCTCTCTGTGTAATGTTGTAAGATATTTCTGTTGAATTTGATCTTTCAGCTCTAAGGAAATCTAAAATAACCCAAAGAATACCTGTTACGTCATGGCCATATAAAATGTGGGCATATGTTTTCATTGCTGGGGACTGGGAGCTAAGTTTGTCCTCTGGGATTGATCTCTATCTTTCCTTGACATCTATGCATCAGGCTTCTGCTGATGCTAATAAAAGTTCTATTGTAGATATCAAAGCGAGTATACAAACATTTTTGTGTCAGCTGGCAGAGTACCCATTCTTCTCTGAACAAAAGATACATCCTCCTTCCAAAGGCAAAAAGATTTTTCAAGAAATTTAGTCTTGTTAACATAATGGTGATTCCAGAACATCACAGGATGAGATTAAGTCTTCTCCTCAGGTATCTTTTTTCTGGACTAGTCTGGCTCCCACATAACTCCCATCAAAAGCAATTAAAGAGATTCTTTATACCCTATGACAACCTTGGCATTCTGCTTTTCTCCCTTTTCCTCCTAAATACGCTGACAAAGTTTCAATGCAGAGAAATCCTTTCAGGTGCCTGTTTATTGTGGCTGCACTACTTTGTCAAAGTCCACATTTACACAGGTATTTTAATCTGCTGTGTGTTTGAATGTCCATCAAAACCCAGCAGTTCCATCCCAGCCACTTGTCTCCACCATTTCTCTTGTGCCACCAGGAGCATTCATGTGGCCTCACAGGGATCAGGAAACTGATCCTAGCTGAAAGCTAACCCAATCTTGTACAAGCCACGCTTGGGGAAGAAAAAAATGTAGGTCATTCCTTGCATCTGCAGCTCTAACTCCAAGCTGCTGGTATAGGCAGCAGAGAATTATTTGAAGATCATGAAGATACTTTCTAAATCCGTCTTCCACGCTCTTTCACCCACAGCATATTTCCCAGATAAAGCATTATATTGGAAATAGTTGGCCAGCAGGACTAGGGAAATGGTCTTCCCCCTAGTAGTAGTCAGCTGAAAGCTACAACCAATACACTGATAAGGATTGTTCAGTGATTATAATTATTGTTAAAGAAACTGATTACAGTTGCCAAAAGTCACGTTCATCACGGAGTGTGAAAATACAATGTGTTACCAGCATGTTTCTTCATTTTTTTACTCATTCACATCTTAAAAACTCAGAAGTGACTGGAACTCAAATGGGCTTTCATCTGAATAAAAGGGGTGGTGAGACCTACGTCAGTGCTGTATGCAGGGTCTGAATGAAGTAGTGTCATACGCAGTAGTCTTTGTAAGACAAAAACCCTAATGAGTTGGTGTAATACTCATAACATGCAACGAATATTGTAGACAGCACCTTCACTGTAAGGATTTCTTTTAACACACCACTGTATGACACTTAAGGAAGGAACAGGCCATAATTTGGGGCTGTATTGTTACACATGAATGGTAAGTGCAGAATTTGGGGAACAGAAGTAAAGGAAAGCTGATTTTAGAGCCTGGAAATGTGACTGATTGCCGTCTCTTTATCATTCTTTGTGCTGAAAGTATTTGTCTAGCAGCATTAAGCATCTGCTTGCCTGTTTCACACAGATGCTGTAAGCAGAATTTGACCTTTTGTTCAGAAAGTGTTTGAATATTTAATGTAAAAATATTAAGTTATCAGAAAATCTGTCTCTTTTGGGAAGACCATTCAATTTTTATACAGCCCAAGTTGTTGAAGCACTTTGGAGCATGAACAACTTCAGAGCAGAACAAAGCAGGCAGTGCTAATGTGTAGAAACTCCAGAAGTAAATAACAGCTGTTCAAGAAGACTTCTATTAAATATGTATTAATTAATTTGAAGTGCATCACTTAAATATGTGAAGAGATTATCTTGTGTTAATTTACATTAAAACACACAGCACTTGTTAGCCTCATTACAGTATCCTAAGTATATCCTAAGCTATCACCTCATCCTACATTGAGCACTTTGTTGGGTGTTGATTGCTTTCGATTTGCCCTTTTAAAATGTCAGATAGTGGCCTCCCTTTCTTGTTGAATCTCTTCTTTCTCTCAGGTTTTGATCTTGCATAGTTACTGTACTTACTCGTGTCTGTTCTGTGTTGAGCAGAAAAAACTTGAAAATAGATTATGAAAATATAACAGTAATTACCCACAGCTCAGTTCCCTAATGTGCCCACCTGAACTTCACGTGTGGTTCTCGCTGTTAACTTGTGAACCAGCAGAGAGAATGTAAGTGTCCGTTTGTGCAGCAAAATGACTTTACGTTAAGATTCAGTATCACCTTTAGTACAAGAAAGACACCTAATAAAATGTGAGTCTAGTGAAATTATAGATAAATAAAACTCACTGGTAATAATAGACTTTGATCTAAATCAATGTATAAATCTTAATAAACCCTCATTCCATTCATAAAACTTAAATATTTTTATCTAAACCTAATAAGACAATTTTTTTAACCTATTTTGGTACTGAAAATATGTGAACTTGTAAGATTTGTGGATCATTTTTAGAGTTTTTTCTTTCCTGGTCATTTTGGCAGCAGATCCAGCTGCTAGGCTGTTCTTTCATCCCATCATTTTGACTCTGCAGACTTCCTAATTACAAGTTGGAGTCCAGTTCTTGTTTCCTGCACCTATTCCAACAAACTCCTCACTGGGGGGAAACTGAGGAATATAAAGGACTTGCAGGCAGGTCCTGGCAGAGCAGGAAGGGGAAAGGAAACCAAAATATTTGGCTTTAGCAAAATCTCAAAGTCTGTAACAAATTGCTAGGTTGCATAGTTCTCTTGTGAGAAGTGAATGGGGTTGTTTGCTTTTCAGGTTGTTTGCAGCTTCTTCAGTTAAGGCTTGGTGTTCACACCTAGGTTATGTTTGCAAGATCATCTCTGCTAGTATCTGTGCTTAGGGAGACACTTTTCCTAAATGAAAGCTGAAATTTTGCAGGATAATTATGGCAATAAGGGGTGATATCTGTAGCAAAATGCAGGCTTGGAATTCACAGCTCCTTGGTTTGAGAGCAGATTTAGTTGTATGTATCTTAACATTACAAAACCACTTACTTCTTACACCTTTGCCCTAACATCCAGTCAGTGTTTGCTGTGCTCAAGAAATTAGAAGTTGAGTTTAAGGACAGAACTGTCTGTGGCTTTTCTCTTGCACATTGCCCGTGCTTGCCTATGCAACCTAAATGATATATTGTTTAGAAACAATGGAGAAAGGGTGGCTGAGATATTCTTCTTGTGGGCTAACATGCCATGGTGTGTGGTAGAATTGAACCTCCACAGTTCCTGCTGCAGAAATACCATCAGAATTTAAAAACTTTCAGAGGGAGACAGAGCTGGATTCGTGCCTTAGAAGTGTCAGGGAAACCTACCCAATTAACTCTTGCTTTTATAAGAACCGGTGCTTGTGCTGGGGCTTGCAAGAAGTTGTTCAGGTTGAGGCATTATGGAACTTCTCTCATTTTTTTTTCCCTACTCCTAACCATTGTTTGACTCTCAGTGACAAGGATTCTTTGATCCTTTGAACATTTTTTTAGGGATAAAAAGCCTCTTTCTCTTCGGATGTCTGTCAAAGACCTGTGTTAGATTTAATAACTTCAGTCACATTGTTCTTATTGGTGACTGGGCAGGAATCTTCTACTGAAAGTCCATACTTAGTCAATATTAGGTTGAAAATGTTGTGTAGTTTCCTGACTGCATTTGTATTCTTGACTTCATCTGTCAAAATGACTTTGACACACACTCAGGTCCAGACAAACCTATTGGATATTTTCCTTGGATTATTCTTCAGCTGGCAAAGTTACTACTTGCCTACGTGTATCTCAGACTGATGCCTTTGGGGCTCTGAAGTATTCCAGCCTTCATTGATGAGTTACTTTCTCCCCTGTGCTTTGCTGACAGAACCATTGCTCCTTCCTGTCAGCATCTGTAGGTCTGCAGCAAACAGGGGAAACAGAGGCAGCAGCCAAACTGAAAGTGAGGCCAGGTGGTTTCTAGTGAAACACTGAGAGTAATAGATACTTTTTCACCCCAATCTTTAAATGCACAGATAATCTTAGCGGGGGAAAAAGTCTTTCTGCAATGCAAATAGGAAAGCCTTTCACATGAGGCAAAAGGGTTGCAATTTACAACATAGTCTGTTTCTTTGCTTATGGTTTGAAGCTTTAGAAGTATTAGAGATAAGGAGAGCCTGAGATGTTTCTTGTTAAACACTTAAGGATAGGAAAAGATGTGTAAGGGTAATTATCTTGATTAAAAATCTGTTGATCTTATTAACAGGTAGGTTTCTTTCAAGATACCAAAAAGAGATTTTTCTGATATGGGCTGAAAGTGCTACTCTGTTTAACTTCTCTCTTTCCTGTCATTGTCAAATTTTCATTGTTTCACAAAGTAAATTCAGTATCAGAAAACAAGCATTAGTGTTTCATAATTGCTTTTTCCAGAGGACATCGCTCTCCTTGAAATGAATGGGACAGAGCTGCCAGGTTAAGCAGAGGCAACTACCATTTTGCTTATTCATCTTAGATCTTGAATCCCTGTCCATCTTTGATTTCCCTTTTGTATATTAAACTGCGGTTTCTACTTCTGTAATACTACCTGTGCAAAGGGTGATGGAATATCCACTGTAGAGTGTAGGAGCTGATGAATCAGTGGGTATTTAGGACCTTTTTATTACTTAGCAAACAATATTAAGTGTAAGTTAAGTGTACAAGAAATTTTAAATATCTAAATTTGCCAAATCTTATATGAAATTATAAGTATTCA